AAAGATATATAAAATTAAATATAATTTATCAACTATAAATCACTAATAAATAAATAAACTAACTAAAGGAATAATATAGATAATTAAATAGTATTTATAATATTATTTAGATTAGAACTAGAATAATTAAATAGAAATACTATTATTAATATAATTTATAATAAATAATATAAAAAATATTTTAATTAAAGAAGTACTGTACTTTACTAATTTAGAAAGATTTCTATAAATAATATAAATTTTTATATTATTAGAAGAAAGATATAATATAATCTCTATCTCCTTCCGCGTGAATCAAATTTTTGAAATTGCGCACCCAGATCCGGCCAGAAACGGCTGTAATTTTCGCAGTTTATTCACCGAATCCAGCGCTATCGACTGATCCTAGTTTTGCTAGGTAAGTCGCTGGCGATGGAGGAGGGTGCTGTGACGACGCCGTTGACGGGCGAAAACCTCGTCCCGCAGGGTGTTCGTCGCGACGCGACGGCACCACAACAAAACACTACGCACCAACACCACCAAGAAAAAGGGTTCGCGAAGATGGAGGATGTGAACGCGACTGCGTCCATCCTTCAATGGATTGAGAAGGCACCCAATACACATATTAACCATCCAACATTCGTGAATACGATTCGCAATATTCAAATCTACGCATCCTCACACGGTGAAAGCACCGAGGCGATTACCGACCTGCGGAAACTGGTCGAACAGATTCAATGGGATATGGCAATCGTCCGTGCACGAACTGAACCATCCACTTCCAGCGCAACCACAGGACTCTCCAGTGATTCCGCTACTCCGTGGAAAGAGGTGAATACGCGCAAATGGCAGAATAGGCTCTCCATCGCGAGCCCGCCCTTATCGACGAGCGTGGGCACGTCCACCCCTGGTGTCACCCAGGCGGAGCTCAGCATCGACTGCGAGATCGTGGTCAAGGTCCGTGATGAGGCTATCCGCAAGGACCTCGCCAAGGAGTCCCCGGAGCAGCTCGTCCAACGAGCTGAGAGAGCGAGAGCGTAAGCCGCCAAGAAGAACGAGACCCTCTCTCTCGCGGGCCATCGCTTCATTGCCGCACGCCAGCTTCCATCTGGAGATGTCAGTTTGCAGACGCCGCACGCTGTAGCTGCCAAAGTGATGCGCCAACACGCGGAGAAGTGGGTTCGAGCCTTTGGAGATAACGCCTTCGTACGGGTTCCAACCTGGGGAGTGGTGATTGACGGCGTTCCGGTGCACACCGTCAATCTGAAGAATGAGGACTTCAAGCAGCAGCTGATTGCCCAGAATCAGCATTCATGGGGGTATCCAGGGGTGGACATCGAGATCGCGTACGTGGGCTGGCTCGCTCGGCCTCATCGACGGGAGAGCTCGCTCGTGGTGGAGTTCACCCATCCGATCATTGCGAACAACGCCCTGACCCGGAATACGGTGTGACAATCTCAAATCTGCCAGACCCGCCTTTACTACAAGGAGGGGAGGTGTAAGATGTGCAAGAAGTGTTAGACATACGGGCACGTCCACGCTCAGTGTCCCAATCCCAAGTTCATCTGCGGAGATTGCGCGAATGAGCACCCAACCTAGGAGTGCCCATTCAAACAATCTCAGGATCTAGTGCCCAAGTGTGCCAACTACAAGGGAAACCACAAGGCGATCAGTGCCAACTGCCCTGTACGGAAGATTGCGCTAGAACGTGCAAAAGAGGCCTTGGACCGGGTATTACGCAGTGATGCGATACACCGCGTACCAAAGCACCTGCTCGTCCAAGAGATAGAACCAGCACCACAAGAAGCAGCCAATATGGCCGCGAAGAAGACCACCACCACCATGACACACCGTGCCGCGCCCAAGTCAACAAAAGCGGCAACCAAATCGACAACCACCACCCGTACGAAACGCACCAAAACACAACATCAAGAGGCCACCACGGCGCCAGCAGAGCCTGCTCCGGAGCCACCAGTGGACCTCACCGTAGAGTCCATTCCAGAGCCCGCTCAGGAAACCGCTCCAACAACCGCACCAACAACTGTATCAACGACCGCTCTAGAAACCGCTCCACAGTCGACTCCCCAGGATATCACGGAATCCGTGGATGAGCTCATTGCGCAACGTGGAGTTGAGCCACCGGCTCCACCACCCACCAAGCGCATACCAACACGCCCAAGCACGCCAGAAGCCGCGGAAGCCTCGGATATGGAGACTCCATTGGCGCCAACAATCGTACGTGCCGCGACAATCGAGCCCAAAAGGACGGTTGAGCCCTATCTCCAAAAACGGGGACGAGGCAGACCGCCCAAGTCCAAATCGTCCAACAACGACGAACAACCGCTCGAGCCAGCCGCCTCAGTCGAGGCGGCTCTCGCAATCACACACCCAGAAGAGGAGTCGCCAGCCACAGTCGATCCCCGGATGCTACAGACGAATCCCCAATATCCCTTTACAGGTGGTCCCCCATTGATAAACCGACGAGCAGGACGGATCCGTCCACCCTCGATCCGTCAAGCCGCGGCAAAGCGACGCCGCGAACAGTCCCGCGAAGCCAGCGTGGATAACGACAACCAACTGCCCCCATTACCGCCAATGACCATGAATCTGGAGCCCAATAACGTCACAATCAGCTCAGGGCCTATCTTCCGTGAAATAGACTCGGAGCAACCGTTGAGCTCCGATTACAACGAGCTACTCCAATCCTTCGTACGATCCGGCCAACGGATCCGTGACTATCAATCCCAGAACGGGCAAAACGGGAGAACATCGAGACAAAGCATGACCTCGCAATCCACGGATGAGCTCGCCTAATGAGTACATTCGAGATTCTACAATACAATACGCACAAATCCAAGGATGGGGTGATGGCCACATTCTTACGAGATCCTAAAGCACTCCGCGCCACCGTGATGGCCACGCAAGAGCCCTGGCAGAACGAGTACGACGACACCACCCACCAACCCGCGCGAGCAACGCACCAATTGCTCTATCCCAAATCCGCGAATCACGACGGCGTCCGGGCGAGGGTGGCTCTCTACGTGAGCCGCCAGATCGACCCCGCCACGTGGTCTCACACAGTGATTTCCCCGGATTATCAGATTCTCAAGATCCGCTACGCACGTGGCGATCAATCCCAGGAGCTCTTCATTCACAATATCTACAATGAGCCCGGATCCGCTACATTTGAGCACCTGCAAACTCAACTCGCTCACTACACCAATCCTACATCCGAGCACGTTATCGTCGGCGATATGAACGTGCACCATCCCGCCTGGGGTGGTCCCGGCACCAAGATGGACACCGCTGCCACGGAGCTGCTCGAAATCATGGACCACCACGAGATCGAGCTCGCGACGGAGGAAGGCCTTGTCACGTGGCAACGTGGAAAGTCGACCTCTACCATCGACCTCACCTTCCTATCCGCAAATCTATTTAACCGGATGGTCCTGTACGAACGTGCGGACAATGTCCAGCACGACTCCGACCACTGGCCCATCCGGACCCAGCTTGATATCCAGACTCCGGTCCATATTCCCCTAGAGCGCCGAAACTGGGCGGCCACAGATATCAAGAAGCTCCACAAGATCCTAGAGCGTGAACTTACAAGCCCAATTCTCACCAACGCCTCTATACCCTGTATCGAACTGGCGACCAAAACATTGATCCAGACGGTGCAATATGCCATTGAGCAATCCATTCCATTGGCGAATCCCAGCGAATGGAGCAACCCTGATTTCACACCAGAATGCAATGAAGCCATCCGAACCTGTCGCCGCCTTCGCCGCCAGGTCTCCAACACCCACAATCCGTGGATCTGGCGCGCTTACCTCCGGGCACGCAACCAGAAGAAACGGGTCGTCAGTAAGGCCCTCCGTCAAGGTCACCGTCGCCGCGTGCAAGAGGTGACCGAGCGAGGTCCCATGGGCATGTGGCGATTGGCCAAATGGGCACGCTCGCGCAAAGGAGCGTACGAATCCGGGATCACGCCAACCCTCCAATCCGATGGCATCTCCGCGGAATCCGTGGAGGAGAAGACCGCGCTGCTCAGCAAAGCCTTCTTTCCCCAGATCCCCAAAGCAGACCTATCCGATATCGACAACGCCGTGTATCCGGAGCAACTTTATTTCCCCACAATCCCGCGCCACGAGATCGAGACCGTGATCCGCTCCACGCCACCAGACAAAGCGCCTGGTGCCGATGCCATTCCCAACAGCCTCTGGCACAAGATCATTGGTCTGCCAGTGGTACTCGATACACTCTATGAAATCTTCAACGCCTGCGTACGAACGGGCTACAATCCATCACATTTTCAACGCTCTATCACCGTAACCCTGCGGAAGGGTGGCGCAGATCGGGACTATCGAATGCCCAAGGCATATCGCCCCGTGGCGCTGCTCAACACGCTGGGTAAATTTCTCGAAGCAATTATCGCACGACGAATCAGCTACGCAGTCGAATCCGAAGGACTGCTCCCGACGAGCCACCTTGGTGGCCGAAAGGGCATCTCCACGGATCACACCATCCAGATCATCCTGGACCGGATACAACGGGCCTGGGGTAACAGACGGGGTGTGGTCTCGATGCTGCTACTGGATGTCTCTGGTGCGTACGACAACGCGCACCATGCTCGTCTTTTACACAACATGCGGAAACGACGACTGGGGCACTTCGCACCGTGGGTGACGGCGTTTCTCACGGGACGAAGCACCAAGATCCGGATTCCCGAAGGCGTCTCCAAGGACTGGATTTCTACACCCACCGGCATTCCCCAAGGCTCACCGATCTCGCCTATTCTCTATCTCATCTACAACGCCGATCTCATTGAGGATTGCGCGGATCCGGCCAACCACATCACAACCAGCGGCTGGGTGGACGACGTGAGCATGATGGCAGCGGGTTACTCCGAGCGGGAGACTATTAAGAAGCTAGAGCGCGCCAGTGCCACAGCAGACCAATGGGCTCTACGACACGCCTCCGTCTTTAACCGCAAGAAATATCAATTGATTCACTTTGTGAATCCGCGAAGCGGACTCCAACCACAAAAACAACCAATCCAAATACAGGACGACGTACGGATAGACGCACGCAACGAAGTGAAATATCTCGGGGTGTGGCTTGACTCCAAGCTTACCTTTGAGAAACACCGGGAAGAAGCCATTACAAAGGCGGGGACTAGTCTTGAAGCGCTACGAGGATTAGCAGGCTCTACATAAGGAGTGGCTCTCGGCCAGATGCGCCGAATCTACCAGGCGGTGATCATCCCGCAGATACTCTACGGCACCACGGCGTGGTTCCATCCAGGGTTAATGACACAGAAGCAAATCACGAGCACAATCAAGGGCTTCGCGAGTATTCAAAAACGTGCGGCCTGCCTCATCAGTAGTGCGTTTCGTACCACTGCAGCAGAGGCGCTCAATACAGAACTACACCTAATACCGATGCGCCAACAACTAGACCAGCTTGCCAAGATAACCGCGATCCAGATCCGCACAGGACCAACATTGGGCATCCCTAGCGGCATGCTCACCAAGCGTACAGATGAAGAACTCACTCTCGGCGGTTATACCCCAATGGAAGCTCACGCGTGGAAGAAGGGCGGATGCCTCACGGCTCCCCCAAGAACCTTGGCCGGGAGATGGGAGAGTCGTGACGCGTACGTCCAGGAGCCGTGGCGTGAGCCACCAAGGGTTATAATCAACGAGCGCGAGGTTGCAATCTCAGTCCACAACTCAATTCACACACATAATGCACACACCATGATATACACAGATGGAAGCGGTTATCAAGGATATATCGGAGCAGCGGCAGTCATTCCGGCGTTGAATGTCCAAGTCACGGAGTGTATCGGCACGGAAGGCACGTCAACAGTGTACGCGGGAGAGTCCTATGGGATCAGCTACGCGCTTAAAAGCGTGCTCCAGTTACAACAGAATCGCGACATCAAGGCACCGGTTATCTTCTCAGATAGTCAAGCGGCACTCCGAACACTCACCAATCCGCGGATGGCCTCCGGTCAACTGTACATCCGCGAATGCCTACGGCTTCTGCGAGAATGTATGGACGTGGGCATCAACGCGACGTTACGGTGGATTCCGGGACACGAGAACGTGCCTGGAAACGAGATGGCAGACCGCGCCGCAAAGAAGGCAGCAATCCAAGGAGTACGACGGGAGGTCGTTCCGGGGGATGTCTCAACCGGGGGATGGATCATGCTGGGAGCAGCAGCAAAGCGACGTATCCAACAGTCGACGAAGGATGCATGGGAAAAAGCATGGGACAAGCAGAAGAGTGGGAAACCTACCAAGAACCTAGTAACCCGCCCATCACGGCGCACAATCCAATATTGAACCTATCTACGCAAGGCCACGACCTCAATCCTCATTCAACTCCGTACGGAGCGAATCAGATTGGCGCACTATCTATGGCGGATCAACAAAAGCGACAACCCATAATACGGTTGTGGACTATCCGGTCAAACCGCGCGTCACATTCTCATGGAATGCCCATTGTATGAGGACGAGCGGAATACCATGTGGAATCGACTCAAAAGCATCCGACGGGACACCAAGTATCGCGTGTTAATCGATAACAAGCGCGCCGCTGTGGCGATTACGCAGTTCATCATTGACACCCAGGTGTTGCAGCAGTTCCGTGATACGGACCCCTTGGCACTAGGAACGTACGAGAATAACAACGCAGACACCAGCGAGAGCGAACAGGAGACTGGCGTGTCTACACGAAGCATTGAACACGCAGGCGAAGTGAGCCCCAGGTCAGCCATGACGCCAGTAAGGACCACCCCCGATATCACACATACGAGCTTTGGATCGAGAACGTCGGGTGAGCCCACTGGCGAGAGCGCGCTGCGGGGAGTCGACGAGAATGAATGTGCGAACGGGTGAGCGAGCGTACGTGGGAGAAAACTGAAGTGAGATTGAGCGTGCGTTGACGCAAGATTGGAAGTGAGAATTGGTGAGAATTGGTGAGAATTGGTGCGAATTGGTGCGAATTGGTGCGAATTGAAAGTAAAGAAGGGAGCGGGTTGAGGACTTACCGCGGTGGGAGTCGGTTGACATGCGGGAGCTGGCGCGAGATTGTTTTGTTATGTTTGATTGGTTTGCATTCGTTTATTTCCTATGTTTGTATAGTTTACATTCTTGGTGGCTTGCCTCTGTGGCGCGCTCCCGCCGTGGCGGTGCCACGGCTTTCTCGGTGCCTGCAGGCTTAGGCACACCCTGGATAGCGGCCCTTAGTCAGCGGCTAGCTTTAGCAGGTATCAATACTACTACTACTACTACTACTAGATATAATATAATATTTAAAGATATATAATAGGTAAAATAAAAAATAAAATAATATTATAATATAAAATATAAGGACATATTAATCTTATAAAAAAAAAAAAGTTTATCTTCTATAATAAATATTAGAATTAAAAACTTTTAATATTAAAATAAAAAGACTAAGTAATAAATTTAATATAATTAAATATAAACTATTTAGAATTATAAAAAAGCTTAAAAATAATAAATACTAACT